ATGAAAGCACTTCAGGTCTCTTGGAAGCAGACAAGGTATCTGGTCCATATTGAACTGTCAAGACATGTTTGATTTGAATATTTTGCCACTTGTGAAATAGGGAAGCAAAATTATATTTGAATTCAAGAAAACTCCTTTAAAATTACAATCAAAGTAATTACAGCAAAGTAATTGATTTAGAGTGTGTATTCCAGATCCTGCCCACAACTCCAGTAGATCATTCTCCTCTCCCATTTTATGGAGATCTTCCATAAAGTTAAATGTTCATGGGCCTCAACATTAAAATCCAGTTTACAACCCAGCAGAGCCCAAACATAGCTGCTCGCAGTCCCAGAAATGAGACACCCTTTTACTATGTGATGATGAAAGAATAGAAATAGGTAAAAACTTTCCAACAAGGCTCACAAACGAAAATGCTAAACTTTCATGTCACATAAATGTAGCCAATAAAGTACCATGCATACTTGTGGATAAGCCCATCTGTGGATAAACTGACTCTTGAATTTCTAACCAAAATACCATGAAAAATGTGCCACCCATGGATAAGCCATCTTGCATTTTTCATGGTATTTTGGTTAAAAATTTGAGGTTCTGTTTATCTGTGGATGGACTTACATGTGAGTATATACCAGGGCTATGGAGTCGAAGTCAGAAACAATTCTTGGGTTATTGGAGTCAGAGTTGGTAAAAATGTACCAACTCCGACTCCTAATAAATTGAAATTGTATATAATATAAATAACATAATACGTTAAAATTTCCTATTTCATAGATAATTTGATTAACCTATTTTTTCAGGATATATTTTAATTTCAAGTTCTGCAAATTTCAAAATATAACATATTCTATATTTTAATAAATAAAATTTTAAAAAAAACAATGTCTTAGCTATAGCCTTTAGTCTGAAGCTTTAACAGTTTAGGGTTCTAAAAAGTTGCCTGCTGATTCATGTTGGCAGTGATGTTGCGTGCTTGCAGTCAGTGTAGGAAATATATAATTAGTATATTTATCATTTATTTCCATATCAATATATAATGGAGTCGGAGATACCATGAATAAGAGTCGGAGTTGAAGGTTTTATGTGCCGACTCCACAACCCTGGTATATATGGAAATATGGTACTTTTAAAAAGTATTACTGTGTATTGTTGTGGATAAGCCAAACCCAATTTTGGGGGAGCATTTTGGCACCTAAAATTCTAGGCTTATCTGTGAGTATATGCAGTATAACCTAATGATAATTATGGGAATTTGATTTTTAGAAGAGCTGATTTTGATGAACTCAGATGGAAGGTAAGTCATATACAGTGATTTGAAATGCTGAAGGAGAAAAGTACCTGGGAAGGATAATCCTGCAAAATGAGATCCAGAAGGTGTAGTCAAACAATTTCTACTATGGACAAATGGAAATCATCTAAGATTAGTATGGGTACACAGAATTTTCTAAAATACTAAGAAGATTGTTTTAACTTGTATTTTATGTCTCTTTCTTAGAAGGGAAACAAGGCTTTAGCTATTGTTGCTCTAATAGAAGGAGGGAGCTTTAGCTCATGATAGAAGAAAGAGGGTAAAATAAAAATTAGCTGATTTAAATATTAATTTTATTAGATTTAGCTACCACATGATTCCAAAACAACTCTGGTAGCTCACAATATCAAACAAACAAGATTTTAAAAAATGCAATATAAAGGTAGCATCTGTTCAACTAATACACTACATATACAGAAACTCATCTAAAGGTTGTGGGTGGCATCTGCTCTACCCCAAGGCCTGGGAGAATAGCTAGGTTTTCAAGGCTTTCCAGAACACCATCAGGTTGGGAGCCCTACAGATATCTGAAAATATCTAATTCCAGAGGTCAGGGAAAGTGACTGAGAAGACGTGCTTCCTGGGTTCCGATAGATGGCATTCTTTATTCAAGAGGACCCAACTCTGCCAACTCTTACTGGATGGGCAGAAAGCATGGGGGACAGTCCCTCAAATAACCTTGCCTTATGCTATGTAGAGGTTTATAAGTAATAATTAACATGAATTGGACCTGTAAGATAAACTTTTTTCCTCCAGAAGATTAATGCAATATACATAATACTCTGCCTTCTTGCTCAAAACTTTATCCTTAGAAAAATCCTAAGAGATAGTAACTGATCCAGTATTTGTTTAATGAACCTGAAGGCCAAGTGTGGATATGAATCTGTATCTCTTTGCTACCACTCCAGTATCATCTTTGCTAAAGAACCCTTTGAATCCCAGCTTCCATTTGTCACCCTGACAATACATTTTGTCTAAGAACCTCTTAGTCAACAATTTTGTGACTACTTTGTCTGAAAATACGACTTTTTAAGAACAAGAAAGTTTCCTTTTTAAAGTAATGACTTGGTGGAAGAAAGCAGAAAATTTCCCTTTATGTCCCTTAGCAGTTCTCCATCCACAGCATCATTTGTGGGTAACTAGCTCCTTCCCCCATGACCCTTTTTCTAGCACAAAAAAAAAAGGTCCAGCTGCCTTTGTGTTATACTTGGCAACTTAAGTTGAAGAACAACTAAACAAAGATTGTAAAGGGACGCTATTGCGGGTGGAGGAAGAATTATTTATCTGAATGAATATGCTGGAGAAAGAGGACTCTGTATTTTTAAATGTTTATCGTGTTCCTGTTTATTGAAATAGTATTTTCAATGTATACTATGTGTAGCTAGGTGGCAGCATCCACCTACATTTACTTGATTCAAAAAATTAAGCAGAAAAATCACCAGTAATTCTCAAGTTTGTTGTCTAGACTGGCGTTTAAAAAAAAAACCTGGAAGAAGGGCAGTGGTAAATAAGTTCCATATTGTTACCAGGTAAACTACATAGACAGTATATGAAGTTACCAGAAGTCAAATTTATCTCATAGGAGACTTTTTTTTCTGTACATGGTGGTATATTTTATTTTACACCATGTATGTTTATAAAGCTGTTCAACTCAGCTGGTATGAGTACATTTTACTGAGTACAGCAAAAGTTTCTTATTCCAATAACTTTACAATTTGTAATAGATAAAGGAAAACAACAGATCAAGGAGGAATTAGAAATTCCTATTCCTATTATCTAATAGAAGCAGGGGAAGAACATGCAATCTTTTAATCTTAGATTAATTATAATAAAGTATAAGACATAGTAAATATGACACATTTACAGAAATTAAGAGAAGCGGAAACATGGAAACCTATTGGGAAAGCATTCCAGGCAAAAGAGGCAGCAAGAAAAGGGAATAAAATTGTTTAGGAAACAGGAGACATATGTTTTATTTTCAAAAAAGGCCAAAGGAATTCTGGTTTATAGAGATCAGTCTCATTTGGGCTATCAGGCTTTGTTCTTAATTCTGTAGAGTTGCTGATTGGAAAGAGAAAGCATGCATTCAGAGACACTTTAGTGCAGCCTTTCTATATTTTTTGGCTATAAAGTTTTGATATAATTTGTGGATCCTTGGATACAGTTTTATAATTTGTGCCTTTCTATACATATAAAAAGTTGAGAAGATAATTTTTCTAACGTGCAGTTAATAATTTACAGTAAAAAAAAGTACCCAAGGAATTCATGATTTCATATACTGTGAAATAAGAAGTATCGTGTTTTCAGATTAAGTTACTTTTATAAATTTGTTGTATAAATAGGAAATACTGCAGGTAGTCCTTACTTAATGACCACAATTGGCACTGGAATCTTGATCGTTGAGTGGTCATTAAGCAAGATGCACATGTGACTGCTTCGCTCAATGACTGCAATCCTGGTATGCGGAGCTGAAATCGGGCAGGCAGCCCTTTTGCTCTTGAATGTTCCTGCAACCCACTGAACAGTTTCCCCTCCCCTTTGTGCACAGAGGGGAAATCCTTCATGGGGCTGGAGGAATGGAGCTCAAATCTTCAGGATTTGAGCTCCATTCCTGTAGACCGCTGAGGGGTTTCCCCTCCCCTCCATCCACTCCACTTACATCCTTCCCTGCTGCTTCCCCATTGACTTTCTGGAGAAGCCAGCAGAGAAGATTGCACATGGTGATCACATGATTGTGGGGCACTTGGCAACCAGTTGTAAATTCGAGTCAGTTGCCAAGTGCCCAAAATTTGGCCATGTGACCGTGGGGTAGAGGGCAGTGCGATGTTTTACAATGGCTGGAAGTGCTTTACAGGCCATAAAGTACCCTTTCCAAGCTGTCATAACTTTGAACCATCGTTAAATGAACAGTCATTAAGCAAAGACTACCTGTAATTCTTTAAAAATTGTCAAGGGCTTGGAATTGTTAACTGGTTACTAGTGGTATACAAAAGATAATGCTAGCAATTATTCAGAAAATACTTTGAAGCAATGGGTTTCAAGGAAATGTTTGATGAGAAAAGTGCATTTTTATTATTGAGAGGAGTGTAAAAAAGTGTTTTGTACAAATAGGAAAAACCATCACATTTCAGAAGTTTTGTCAAAATAATTGAATCAGCCATGGCACAGCAAAACCAAATTTGAAATGCTTTGGTTATTCCAGGTTTCCAGTTAAAAAAAATCTAGATGTAGCAAGTAGAGCAAGACTGGTGCATATTATGTACCACTTTCCCCTCTTCCCCTCAGCAATTCCAGTGTTGCATATCCCACTGGTTCTCCTTTTCAGTGTCTTCCATCCCTCCCTCAGTTGCTCTGCCAATGTATCAGCATTGGCAGTATCCTACTAACTCACCCCACTAGCTCATCCTCACTCTGTCTCCCTATAAAACAGCCCCATTTCACTTCACGTGTAGACCAAAATATCCAGAATGTGTTTTAGTTCAGGGAGAGTTCATCCAAAATCAGATGTTCCATCCCTGGAAAAATATGTACATGGAATGTTTTGGAACTCTGCATAAGAACACATGAAATACATTATATGGATGTAATGCTTTTCATGGCTATGGACTCTAAAAATCTTTATTTACATGTATGTTTATCTTTTAGCTTTACGTTTTTACTATACTAGTAAAATTTTAAATATCTCTCTCTATAGAAAGCAACAAAGAAAACAGATAAGCCAAGGCTAGAAGAACAGGATGATATAGATATAGCAGAACTCAGTAATGAAGAACTTAAAGATCAACTCCTGAGATATGGTGTGAATCCAGGTCCTATTGTTGGTAAGTCAATATTGTAAATGCTAATACATTTGTATGTGTGTGTATGAATGAATGTGGATATAAAAAATTGAAGACAAAGAGGAATGCAGATGGAAAAGTGATGACAACCTGTGTACTTTAAATATTTGAAACTTCAGTGGGTGAAGTAATCGTGTTCTGTATTGTGCATTATGACGTGTGGTTACATTCACTTCCTCAGTAATAGTAATTGCCCAAATCCATCATGTTGTTATTATTCACTACTGAAACTAAACTTGGCTTGCATCTTTATTATTGTGCTAATCATCTTAGTTGCTAATAAGGGTCAGAAGTTTACATTAGGAAATTATTTGTCCTTTCAGATTATTTTACATGATGCTAAGAGCTATTTCTGTATAAAGTAGAAGCATAAACTGCTTTGCAGAATCACTCAACTGGGTTTAAATGAGAGATTGCTTGTTGACCAACACTGTATACAATTGTATTAAGATACATCACCAATAATATAAAGTGATACTATTTAATTTCAGGTAGCAAGTAACAATTTGCTAAACAAGTTAAAATATTACTTTTAGTAAATCATTATATGTACTCATATACTTTTCTTTACTAGCTAGAGTTCTACACAGCATACATAAGTGTGTTAAAGTGGGCTTTGCCTGGCTTTAGCTTCTCTAACTTTTTCATTTCTCTATCTTATATTCTACTTTCTACTCTATCCATTAATGTACACAATATAACATTTAAAATTTAAATATAAATTAACATGAATTATCCTTTAAAGGGGTAGCAAAAGAGATGTATCTTGGCTGCACTTCTCAGATCAACAGTCAAAACTAAACCCAACTCCAAAAGGAGTATATTCATAGCAATGGAAGCAGTGCAGGAAAAATCACTCCCCTGTATGGCAGATAAACAATCTCCTGTCTAGGAACATCTTCAGAATGATCTTTCCTATAGCTCTTAATAACAACGGCCTCTCCTATAGGTTTTAATTACTACAGATTGTCAGGCCCTAAGCTTTATATGGCTTTAATAACAATGCTTTAAATTAAACCTGGTAAGCAATTTTCAATGTAGGGTGTGTGTGTGTGTATGTATGTGTTCCCTGCAACTAAGGGGAGCCTTGCAGCCTATTGTTGTATTTTGTACCAATTGCAGCTTACAAATACTTTGTAAGGATGGTCTCATGTAATGTGCACTGCAGTGGTCAAATCAGGATATAATCAAGGCATGGTTAACTATTAGCAGATACATCTGATTCAGGAACAGCTGTAACTGAACTGTTAGACATAACTGTGCCTCTTTTTTCACTTGGGAATCCAGAAACAGGGTTCAAGGAGCATCCTCCGATAGTGGAATTCCTCTTTCAGAGGCAATGCGTTTCTGTTCAGGACAAGGTGAACTCCAATTACAGAGGTGGTTTTCTACTGATCAACAGTACTTGTACCTTATCTGAGCTTAATTTTAGTTCTTTGCCCACTTCTAGCCCATTATTGAACTTAGGCAATGGTTAAAGGTCTGCTTTTTTGAAATTAAATAGTAATGAGCAGTAAAGCTTGGGCATCAGCATACGATGGGTACCTGAAACTAATGTTGAAGATCATTCTAAATTAGCTGAGGAAGAGAGATCACTAGAAGAGTAGCCAGACAGTATATTTACTTTGTCCTAGACACTCAAAGTATCATGCACTCACAATTGGTAGACGGTTAGATCAAGGGCCTGGTCAGTGAGATGGAATTCATTTAGACCCCAGCCATTCCTCTCCATCCTTTAATCTGTGGCACCACACCATGGTGCTGCTGGAAGGACAGAGGTGGAAGAGGCTATTTCTTCTCTCATCCAAAGCAAGTGGCAACATTTAAGGTGATCTGGAAAAAAGCTAAGCAGAGTTCGATCAGGTCAGTAGTTAAATGGGGGACCATCAGAAATACCTACAGATGTGAGATAGATTGGAAGTTTAAAAAACATCCTAGAAGGTGGCAAAAGGACTAGTAATAATAATTTATCAAACGTGTATGCTGCCCGACTCTCAGCTTAAACATCTTCCATATTTTTCCAAGAAAACTACAAGGTTTTGTCCATCTCAAAATGAAGTCAATTCTAAGGAGTTTTTCTGTCTCTTTCATGCAGGTCTCTGATACTTCAGGCCAGGACTTTTATCTCGGAGTAAAACATGTGTAATAGATATTTGCTTGCACACCTAGTGGTGTTAAAAGCAGGAGGGACTGTAGTTTGGAAGGACTATCATCATTGTCATTTTGACTTCCTTGGATAGATTGCCATCCAACAAAAGGAAGCCAGCCTTTCTCACTACAGCAGACAAGTTGCAGCTTTACACCATATCTTTCCCTGTCTGCTAATATTTTACTCTTGGCACCCAGGTTGTTTCCTGCTCTCTTCAGCTCTTGAGAATCCCCAAGAAGCCAAAATTCCTCCATGATTAAAATCCCCTTTCTTAAAACAATATGGAACATTTTCAGCTTTTGGTCTCCTTAAGATGTTTTCAAAGCCATAATCCCCTTTATTATTGTGGTTGCAGCAATGGCAGTTCCACCTAAGGCACAATTCCTTTATGCCCTAATTCCAGGGAACAGTGATAGCCTCTGCTGAGACCACAGAGTCAAGAGCCTTCCCACCTTTACCATGTACAGTGATTTGCCCATGATTCTTCTCCTTATGATTACAGGTAGTCCTTGCTTAATGACTCCAATAGCGACCAGAAAATTGGTCATTAAGTGGGGCAGTTGTTAAGCAAGTCATCATGTGACCAGACCCAATTTTACAACCATTTTATGACAGTTGCTAAGTGAATCACATGGTTGTTAAGCGAATCCAGCTTCCCCAATGAACTTTTTTGCTGGAATTTGCTTAACGACCATTGTAAAAAAAAAAAAAAAGGCTGCAAATCATGATCATGTGACCATGGGAGGTGGTGCGACAGTTTGCAACGGTCATAAGTGCGAGTACAGGTTGCACTTTTTCCAAGGCCATTGTAATTTTGAACCGTCGTTAAATGAATGGTGATTAAGCGAGGACTACCAGTATCTTAATGCCTTGTATTGTAGCCATTTTCAGTACAAAGTGCTACTTTCTGGCAATTGCAGGTAGGTAAATCTGAGGGCTAAGCTACATTTTATAGTAAACTTGATTTTTTAATAGGTTTTTTTTCCCAAATAATTTTATTAAGAATAGTAAATGAAAAGAATAAAAGCCAATACAGGCTTCAAAAATACATACAGAATAATACAAAAGAAAAGAAAAAGTGTGAAGAGAAAAAGAGAAAAGAAAGAAATAACTTCCCCCTTCATCCCAGCAATGATGACATGGTGTAATACGTCATGTGTTGTTCATCTGAGGTTGTATTTACCTACTTTTGAGAACTGCTAAGGACCAGATGATTTTTATTATGTCCTGATATGTAAATCCATAGAACTCAAAGGGGATGTACTTTCTTTTTCACACAACTGTAGTTGCTACTATATTCAAATTTTGATAAGAAAGTAATCTAGTGATATTTCCTATAAATGTACATAGAGGAACTTAAACGTCTGAGTCACGTAACCAATTTTTCCTGCTCTGCTGCAGCTACTACAAGGAGGCTTTATGAGAAGAAGCTACTGAAGTTGAAAGAACCATCCCAAGAGCTAAGTTCTTTCATAGCTACACCAACATTTTCTTCATCTGCAGAAAGCAATAAGCAGAATGGAAATGATGATTCTGATCAGTTCAGTGACAATGAAGAAGGTATAATATAATGCAAGAGGAATAAATGGCTTTAAAAATTATAGAGCTTTTATGGCATTATTTATCTTGTTTTTATGTGCAGTGAGAGTGGAAACTTACTTGGCCTTAATCATATGTGCAATGAGATTGGGAGCAGTAGATGTAAATACTACTACTGGTTGCTTTATTTATCATGGATTGCATTCAAATAGCCATTTCTATCCACTGAATAAATTAGAATTAGTCATGCTTATATCATAGACGTTATAATGTTTTAAAACTGTTTTGTGCCTTCAAGTCAGTAGGAGCAGCACTGTATCCTCTAATTAGTTTTTAAATGCAAATTATATTACTGCATTAGTATAATCTTGTGTTTTCTTCAAAAAATAAAAAAATAAAACATGGAACTTTAAATCTTAGTTAGTAAAAAGCTTTTAAATAAACTGAAAATACTTAATATTCCCAGGAGTTGATTTAAACAAAATTGTGTATATGTACAAAGAATTTATGATGCCACTTTCTCGAATTTTCCATTCAGATATATTCCATTCAGAGTGGATCTTGCTGTGAATTAATCTTTATTATTACCAATTTTCAGTGTATTTTCTAAGTTAGGATTGGAAAAATAATTAAGCACTCTTAAAATAGTCTAGTAGCTTTGACATTGTAATAGTAGTGGCATTTTTAGCTGCAAAAGAATAATATGTTTATTTACAGATCCTAAAACAGAGTTCAGACTTGAGAAGCGAGAACCACTGAAGGGTAAAACAAAAACTTCATTAACACTTAAACAAAGAAGAATTGCTGAAAATAACCAGGTATCATAACAATTTTCTTTAAAAGACTCTTCTAAAGTGCATATTTTAATTTGACATATTTTAAAACAACCTTATATTTCAGGTGCAATTAATATTATTTACCACAAGAAAAAGCAGATTATATCTGATCCTTCAGCAAAAAATGCTTGGAATATAGAACTGGGATTATGGCAGAGTGTGATAATTACTAGCTAACATTTTGGGGCAATAAGGAGAGGATGGGGAGAATCTGTAATAAATTTCTGAACCCTACCTATTTCTTTCATGCTGGTTTTCTATCGTATAGTTTGATTTGGTGTTTTAAAATAACTTTTCTTCCTAATTGCAATATAATAAAACTACAGGTGCCAAACAAAGCTTGTTCAAAATAAGGGCAGTATTCTTGTTCTAAACTAGCTCAATTTTATTCACTGCCGTTGTCATTTAATAAAATCTAGCTAATGCAGACTCACTGTTAAGAGCAAGAAAGGCTGTTTTAAATGAAAAAAACAGTATCGTAGCAGCAGTTTAACAGGATTCCAAAGAAGTTCATAATGGAATGCTGTTGTCAACTTGAATGCCAGATAAAGGGATGCAGTAAATCAAGCCTTCTGGAATTATTCACATAGATATGTTTATCTCAGGAAAACACCCTAGGGGAAAAATAGCTCAAAAAGCTCCATTCCTCTCCCCCCCACCCTTGAGTATCTTAATAGGAGAAGGAGAGGAATAGTTTGAGATTTCTTCTTTCTCCTTTTTTCTTTTTTGGACCAATCCTATATTCAGTACTATCATTATGTACTAAGTTAACTGTGTGACTATACAGCTCGCCAAATAATATAATAGATTAGGAATACATTTTCAAAGTTGGCAGTCTATGCCAAATAGATGCCAGTTGTATGGCCTGCTTAGTACATAAAAAGGAAGAAAGATACAAATGTTTTTCAAACATTTTGGAATGCTTTTGGACATGTTTTCAAGAATCTGCTGTATGGAAGAATAGGGTACGTCATAACACTCGAGAAATATATGTTGGATGTATATTATTAATCAGGTTATTACTTTTGTTTTCTGCCAAATTATTTCAGAATTATTGCTGTTATTGATTTTATAGATTGTTGATTTAATGTCTCAAATACAGTCCTAAACATACCTTGGACTAAATCTGATTGAATTCACTACAGCAAATCTGAGTAGGAATTTATAAAATCTACCAAATAATTTAATGGATGTTCACATATTCAAATTGTAAACATTTAAAGATTTAGTCTCTGTGCAGATAAAACTATTATTTTTATTCTGAGTGTGAATATCAAAATACAGATAGTCCTCGCTTAGTGACCACAATTGGGACCAGTAACTCTGTTGCTAAGCATTGCAGAAAATCATGTGACCGCAACAGACTTACAACATTGCTTCCCATTCAGTCTTAAGTGAGTCAACATGGTCATTAAGCAAGACATCATGTGACCACGAGTTGCGATTTTACTTCCACATTCTCCATTAACTCTTTGTTGGAAGCCAGTTGTGAACCACACAAATGCTGATCACATGACTGCAGGATGCTGCGATGGTCCTAAATGTGCGCCAGTTGCAAAGTGCCCAGATGGTGATCACGTGGCCACGGGACACTGTGACAGTCATACATGCAAAGATTAGTCACAAAACTGGAGGGTTTGTTTATACTGTTGTAACTTCGGAGGCAGTCAGTAAGCAAGGACTACCTGTAATAAAAATTCAGTTTCAAGAACAAATCATATATAGTTTTTAAATGAATTATAATACTGCTATGAATAAAATATAAAGTTTATTTTCTGAATGTTGTTCATTAGAAAAATTGAAAAATAAAGTTCAAAATCAAATACATGACACTAATTTTTAAAATTTAAATTTAGCTTGTGTAAAACATAATCATATTAAAAAAAAAACCTCCCAACATCTCCCAAATATTTTTTTATTAAATCAAGAACAAAATAATATTCCTTGTTCACTTCCCCACACCAACGTAGACTTCAGATAGTAATTTTCAGAAGTCTTTTGGTAGATGGCCACATTTAATCTATTCAGGATTTAATGCCTCATCTGTATAATAATTAACTATAATTTGCTTGTCCATTGTGCTCTGCCCTAGAGTCTTGTAATTGTTTTTGACTAGCAAATCTTATTAGGCTATCAGCCAGATTTAAAGTTTGCAAGGATATACCCTTCTTTTATAATCTTTATACCCAAAATACACTAATTTCCATAGAATGAAGGCTGCAGTCCCACTCAACTTTAGGGGAAAAAGAGGAATTGCTGTTACTCATACCTCAACAGCAGTAGAATTTAAACCTCTAAATCTAAGCAGAATACGGATAAGATGCTGAACGTTTTAAATTTAGTAACAGATTTAAAACCTAGCATGGCTTGCTTCAGAGAGCCATTTAAAGAATTTATATTAGTAAATGCATATATATTATTATGTCATGAGATCAGAAGCCTTTTGTCCGAGATTGAAAAATAATTACTAGTGCAAGAAAAGGTATCAGCTAATATATTTAACAAAAGAGGTCAGATATTTAGATGCCCTACATTTTAATACTCTAACATGTCTTTCACATCAAAGTAAGTACTTATTTTTAATAGGCATCTCATTAATTTTTTTTCTGTGTTCATGGTTTTTCTGTAATGTCATGCTTTTCTACTCAGCATAGGAGCATAGAAGTGATACCTGTCATACACAATTTTCATGCAAAATGCTATGGCATTAGTGGGATAATCTGATATAGGGATAGAGCATTCATATGTTTGCTAATATGTTTGATGCTTAAATATCCAAGGATGGCATTACTGAGACATTCTGGAGAAGTGGATCTTCAAAAAGTGGACTTCTGCAGGCAGTGTCTAGGGAATCTGCAAGAGTATCAAGAAGAACACCAAGAAAAAGGGTGACGCAAGGCTAATTCTTAATTTAGACTTTTATTTTTGTCGTTCTCAGAGCCCTAGTAACAGCTGTACACTTATTTTGCTATGTTTTTGTTTTTAAACAAACAGGTTGAAACTACAATTCCATTGCCTGTACATGATCCAGTAATATCAGAGAGTACTCCCATAGCTGTAGTGGCTTCAAGCAACGAGACTCTAGTAAATATATTGAATTTTCATTAGGTGGTATTCTGTCATTTTCTTCTCATGGAAGAATTTTGAATAAATCTTTATTTCTTGAAAAAAGGGGTTTTAAATAAAACATTGGGCTGTTGTTCATCAGTCTAATGCACACCAAGAGCAAGTAAAAAGCAGGAGGAGCAGTACTCAGATCTTCTGAAGTTCTTTCCCAATGTGTCAAAAATTGCCTTTGCATATGTGTGTCATGGGGTAATACTTAGAAATAGTAAAAGCAACTTCACATTTTTATTTTAAAATCACTATATTTACCATTTAGAATAGTTAGTATCTCATGTGTAAGCTGTCTGGCTTGGTTAAGATTTTTTATTGTAATTTCCTCTATTAATTCTGAGTCTGAACAATTTGAATTTCAGCAGGTTGTCAATAGGGTACCTGGAAATACCAAGCATGCTGATCCTATACTGTCAATCAGTGACTTCTCAGAGTTGCCAAGAAGAACACCAAAGAAACCATTGATGACAGCTGAAGTAAATGAATTAAATACAGATTGGTGGATAGAAAGGGGAGGAGGGTGAACTTACCTTTAATTAAAACTATGGTAGCAGATATATGTTATGATTTTTCTAGTCTCAGATTACAATGTACCTTCTGGGTGCTTTTTTGCATGTATTGGGTATATATAGATTTGGGATATCTAAAGAAATAATCTGACTGTTACCATATTAAATGTGGATTTTGGATCTAAATTAATTTAGTCAGGGTATCTAGAAAAATCTAAAGTAATTCAATTCTATTTTTTAAGGGAAATTTACTTCTGCCATGTGTTAAATTAAATTAAATTTTAAAAAAATAAATGAAGATACCAGTGCAAAAGTGTACTGCATGCTGTGCTTAACAATAGGTATTTCAGTACTTACACTTCCTTCAGAGGGAAAATAAAAACAAAAGTGCTCATCATCCTGATCACATTCAGTATCTGTGTGATCAATTCAATTAGAAATGGTGACAGTATCTTTTTAAGTCTTTATCACATTAATCTTCATAACATAGCATTATGCTTCATCTTGAAGGAACAAAGGATACTGAAGACATCTGGATTCACAATAAATTGCCAGATAGATAAAAGTAACCAAATTTTGATCAACAGCTAAACCCCATGAAGGAGTCTTCTTAAATTTCATGGGTGTACTATTCGAAATGACACCGGAACATGGCTGCACTCTGCCTCCCTCCCTTATTTTCTTTAGTACAGCTTCCAATGAAATTTGGTCAGATTATCATTTTTCCATTTTCAAATTATTTATAGGTCATCGAGAAAATGTCTACAGAGGATACAAGATTAGAAAGAGATATTCTTAAAGAAATGTTTCCATATGAAGCATCAACACCTACAGGAATTAGGTACCCGTAGCTATTTTTTAAATTTGTTTTGTTTCTTGGTATGCATGAAGTAATTTGGTCTTTTTCAGGTTTTGGACATTTTTGTACTAGTCTTAAAACACTGGACTTGACAAGGCAATAGTTTGCATTTCACTGTCTTACCAACTCCCGGAAATAAGTGTTACACAATATTGTGCTAGTTTGCAAGTTTCCTGGTTTTCAGTGGCAGCTTAAAAGGCTTGATTTTTCAGTGTAGCGTATTCAGACTCTCTTTAAATTTCTTTATATGGTTAAAAAGATAATTGAAGGAGCAGATATGTGTAGTATTCTCAAAAACACACCAAGGTTCATTTTAACTATCAAATAGTTTATTTTATTTGGAAAATGTATATGGATGTCCTTCTTAAATACGTAACTCTGGGCAACTAACAACCAGTTTACAAAAAAACAATATAAAAAGAACCTTTATAGCCAAAAAAAGTTAAAAATAATCCAATACAAAAGAAGACCAAGGCACTATATAGCAATCTCACAAAGCAGATATATGTATATTGGGCTCCTCTAACCCTAATCTGAAATCTGACTCTAACTGCCCATTATAATACTGGAGAGGACAGATGCACACGTGCAAAACTTACTATTACAGAGAGACAGCATATCTTTAATATGAGCTGCTTTTGGAGAAAGTAGAAGAGGACTGTTGTTAAGCTTAAATAAAGAAAAGGTTTTTCTTGTTGGCATATTTTGATTGCAAACAAGAAAGTAATGTTCCATAACAGGATTACTGCCTTCCTGTCCATGCTTACCTGTTTCTCAAAAACATCTGGTTAGCAACTCTATGATATATAATGCATTGGCTCTTTGGCCTGATCCAGAAAGGCTTTTCTTAGATTACCTCTGAGATTCTTTGCATGGAGGAGAAAATATGTTTTTGAACACATAACAGACACACAGTTTCATAAATTTTGTCAAACTGGTAGGTTTTGGTTGTTCCAAGTTTTGGCTAGAGCAAAATCAGAGGGGCTTTACAGTACAGTACAATAAGTCTGGTGCATCTCTCTTGTCTCTCCCTTATTTCTCCACATGGCCTGTGCATGCACCCTGCTCACTGAACTTCCTAGCACCTTCATTTTCTCATGCTGTCAGCTGCTGACAAAGTCTTTGGTGTCAAGCACAGCAGATCCAATCAGCCAAGCCTCCAATCTTCTCAAGAACTCCTTTTCCTATATCCCTTTAGCTGCTGCCCATGCCCTTGGGATTTCCTGCTTTCCCCTTTCCTTGCCCACAACTCATATATTTTGGTGGTCTGTGCCTGGACCACCAAAAACTAGCTGTCCTGTACACAGAACATTTTGCACATCACTAGTCATAACCTTTTAGCTGATCTTTCCTTTGAACAGTACTGCTGGTGCTCCTCTTATCCCTGCCCATCCAGCTAGCCTTGTTGCCTGCTCCTAATAACTACCTCTGTTACTTTGAAGTTACACTGCATAAGTAGTAGCATGTCAGTACATACATATCCAAGAAATTATTCCCTTTTGGGGTTAACCGTGTTATGCAGAATGCAGAAAAGGAGTCAGAAGCAGTAGAGCAAAATTAAAAGGAAATAAGAAAAAGTTTAAAGCAGAAAAGAACACATGGTTAAAATTAGTTTTCACCAACACCATTTACTATACCCCTCCATACCTTTTTATTTTGCTTCTATCATTGCCTTTTATTTTTAAAATTTCTTACCTTTAATATTTCTTCAGCCATATCCAGCTCTCACTTCCATATAAAGAAGTGAGCAGAAGCAAGTTCATACAATATAGAGAGTTTGTTTTGGATAATAAAAAGCACAGGCTCTTTGGGTGACAAATCTGAAAATCAGATCAGTTTATTGGCAGGTATATATGATTAACATTTTTTTTTCTTTCCCCAAGACTAGCTGCATCCAGCTTAACTTTTCTTCTTCCCAGCAATAGCAATAGATAGAATTATGGCCTACTTAACTCTATCAGATTTATCAGTGGATCAGAGCCTACGAGTGTCCTTTTTGGAGCTTTCTGAGCCAGCTAGCTACTATCTTGGACTAACAAGGGCTCTGGGCTTAGTGAGAGATCTGCCCTGGGAATTTCTCCCACTGCTTCCTGCTCCTTCACAGTGCCCCTCCCAAGAAGCCACTCTGACCTATCTTAGCTTGACTTCCAGTTGCTATTCCCTGACATCAGACCTCTTTAGTGGGTCAGTACCGCTGTGATTTCTTTAGTAGGCTGCCATCATAAGGTCCGTTCAGTAGGCTTCAGCTGCCTGCCTCCTCCCAAAAATCTGCTGATAATCAGCAATAAAATTGGAGTGGCACAGATAGATGGCTATAAGTGGCCCTTGCATTGTCTACCCCAATATAAAAAAGACAGTTAAGTCTGATTTGTTAGTATCTTTATTAACTTAATAAAGCATTTTTAAAGTAGATTCATATTTCAGTTCTGCAAAGAATAAGTGATCTAATACTTCTTAAAAAAAGTGCAACTTGATTAACAGCACAATGCCCTTTACCAAATTACCACACAGTTGCCAGCCAGATATTTTTGAGATCACAAGCATTGGTAAGCCTGTTTAATGCTTGGGATTCAAGTTGGAAGAGGTGCAACACTTATCAGCTACACATTAAAGCATCTGTCTCTGATTCCAGGATCATGTGACTGCTACAGGAAGCTTCTTTTCCATGCTATCTTGGAAAAAGATGCAGTTGCTTCAATATGTCACTGACAGGTACTGCACTCACATTGCTATGCATTCCAAAACATATCCAAAGCATTGCACAGCCTTTCTACTTTACTATATTGAGTTCAAATGCTCCTCATCTGCATTAGAACTTTTGAAATATATGAGGTATTCTAGCATATATACTTAATTTATATTACTTAATTTATAGTGCTAGCTGCCGCCGACCAATCAAAGGCGCTGCTGGTCGACCTATAGAGTTCAGTGATTACCGGCTGGAAGAAACATATTCATCAAAATATATTCCTAAATATATTGCCTCAGCAGAAGTCCAGCAAGAAAAAACAACAATTAAAAAGCACTCCATTCCTTTGTGGATAAAATTTCTGCTGCTCTTAGTTGTTGCAGTCTTCTTGTTTTTCGTCTATCAGTCCATGGAAACCAACCAAGGAAATCCATTCTCCAAATTCCTTACTGCTGAGAATCCAGCAAAAACAATAGATTGAGTTTTTATTTCTGTGGCACATACAACTAGGTCTCCTATTTTTAATATAGAGATGTCTTCATCCTTTCTCATCTTTTGAGACTGCATATAGATAATAACAATGTGGAAAAATGAAAAATGGAACAAAACAAAGACAATAAATGGATATCACCAACTTCTTTCAAAATTAGGAGAACACTGTGCCATAAGTAGTATTTTTAGATTTCTCTGGAACTACTTGTAGGATTTATTTTTTTAATGTGGACTTCATTATGTTCATTTGAGATTGTATATTTGATTTTATAAACTTGGAAGCTCAAAATGGGCAGAAGTGATAGTAAAATGTGAAGATGTGTTTAAATGTTTTTACTTCAGGCTAAGATACTGTACTGAAATTTTCTTTACTTTGTCTATTATCAGGGGTGGGAAGAGGTACATTGATAAAAGGAAATGCATTTTTGAATGCATTTTGTGGAAACTGCAGCTAAGTTTAGTGTAGTTTTTAAGGGGCTTCAGCATTTTTCTGTAGAATATTGTAATCTCAATAAATAAATGGTAAACGTATACATCTCTGTCTTAGTTTTAATTGTAGTAATGATACTTGAACTTATCCTTAATTTTTAATCATAGCTACCTATTTTAGTGCTTAATCCTATAATTCCTGATCTAATTGACTATTGTTGTCCTTAGAACAATATTTATTAGTACAGTTTTGTGAAATAAAGCTTACTCAAATAAATTGGTTTACTTATTTTAATTAATAATTAAAATGTGAAATCATTATCTGCAGACTTATTTTATTTCAAAAGAGCCATGTTCTCCAGCCTGAATCCCATTTTTAAATTTCATATTTTTCAGTGGTATTTTATTTGAAACAACACTGATATACCAAAATGTAATGTAATTCTTATGGTATATAAAGGGCATTTGTAATATATATGTGATGAACAAAGGTTAAACATGTTTCCCATCGATGCAGTTATTTTGGTCCACCATAACTTGCCTCAGATTGCCTTTTCCAATGAAATAAATAGTTCATTTTTACTGTGGATTATTACATATCAAGTGAATGTATCAATTTGCGGCATATTCTATACAAAATTGCAATAAAGTTATTTTTAACCATAACTTTGACTCTCCTCAGACTTGGTATTCATGCACTCAAAAGTTATTTAATTTTTAAGTAGAATCTCTTGCCTTAAAATATATTTAGCCTACACTTAAGCCTTAATTTTAAAGCCTCCTTCGTCAAACATCCCTCTTGTTAAATTCATGGACAAAGCCATGTAATGTTCTTTGCAGCAGTACATAATTCATTTCATATTGCCTTCTATCAGGAACTTTCAGTGTAGCTTACAGCTATGAGATTTCTTGGTGGTTTTCCATCCAATCACAAGCCTGCACTGACCCTGCTTTGCTCTTTGAAATAATCAGGGTCTCTAGAAAATGCCATCTACCTGGGCATTATGGATACCTAGCCAGGTATTAATTCCAATAATATGAAAACTCCAGATTTCATTATACCACAATATTATACCCACTGCATACAACCTTAATTTCCATATGGCAACTGAAGTACAAATGCTGCAAATATTCCACATACTAATATCTGAAAATTATACTAATTTGTAATTACTTTGCTTCGTACTTATCTGATTTGTTCTCGCCATCTTTTATTTTTCACCTGTTATTAATAGTATTTTTCTTGTTTTAGTTGTGAGCCACCCAGAGTCATTGGGTGGCATACAAATTTGATAAATAAAATTCACTGTGCAATAGAACTTTACAAAATTATTTCCAGTTTTCACAGTGATCATCGATGCTGGTCCAATTAACATCTGAGGACTATGGGACAATTGGGAATATCACAATTTGATCTGCTAATGAAACTATTTTTGTGGATCCCTGTCACTCCTTTGAATGTTTCCCATCATTCTGGAGCTGCACGGTTGTAGGAATAAGTACTATTTTGTCTACTATCAACCACTACTGATCACTTCAGCTGTGCCTAGATGATATACAGTAATACCTCGGTTCACGAACGCTTCTATTCATGAACAATTCGGTTCACAAACAGCATTTGCAAAATCTTGCTTCTGTTCACGAACTCCGCATCGGGCAACGAACACAACTCGCGGCCATCTTCCCTGCTCTGACATGTGGTCGTGGCTTCCTCTAGGCAAGATTGCGATTGCAGACAGACAATTGCTGTGAAGCTTTTTGGTGTCAAGCAAGGTTACTTTTCTCTCTCTCCATACTGTACTGTACTTTGTTTCATATTTTTGTGGTTAAAAAAAAAAAGACATGGTTCAGAATGGATTAACCTTATTTACATAGAACCTTATGGGAAAATTTGATTCGGTTCGCGACTAGAATCGTGGAACGAATTAAGTTCATGAACCGAGGTACTACTGTACTAAAAGAATCCTTTGTCCAATACAATCATCATCTGCTTGCTCTGGCATGCTATTCTTTTGAAAAAAATAAGATCATCATCTGGAATCTTCACAACTTTTCAAAACTGAGCTGACATAGTGTGGGTTGTGACTTCGTATTTGATTAGCAGGTTCCTGTTTCTTATCTCTAACATCTTTCAGTAACTGAAGAAATCTGTGGGAATTATTCTTTCATTCTCTACATCACCAAACCATGAAAACATTTAGGTTTCAGGTGGATTGTTCCACTTCATAGTTTCAAAAATATATCAAATAGATCTCTACAAGTTCATGTTCTTTTCCATAGCATTCACAGATCTGAAGCATCTGAATAATTTTATTCAGTTTTCAAAATCATCTGTCCATGCAGAGATGAGCATAGTCTAAGAGATCTCTCCAGCATTACAAAAATAGTAGAGAAACTACTGATTAAGATACTATTCTGCCAAGTAACAGCACAATTTTCCCTTTTGAAATTAAGAAACTGAATATTTGTTTTAAAAATCTCTATTTCCTCTGAATAACTAAAAAACTATGCAGCTTTAATTTATGTAGATGTCAGTACAGGTTCTGTTAAACTTTCTTTAGAATTAAATATTCTGCCTGTAAATTATATTTTTACCCCTTCAATTACTGAGTCTAACACATTTAAAATATTGACTTTAGAACTGCTGTAAGTCCCTAACCAAAAAACACTTGGTACGTGAATTAAACAGACCAAGTCAGATGCAAAGAACCTGAAAGACAGGTCCACTACAACAATGTGTAGATGTCAACTAAGCCTCCCACTAAAATAACCAGGCCTTTAGTCTATTACAGTGCATACATGAGGAAAAGATGTATTTTTATTTATGTATTTTTGCTTTTTAATTAATAACAAAAAGAGCAAAACAATGATGGAGATACAGTGTCAAAGGGGAAAAAAAAGTGCTTTACAAAAAAGTGAAAGAAGCATGACAAAAATGTATGTCATAACAGTAAACAGTTACAATTCTATATATACTTATCTAATCCAAATATTCAAGTATGTATACACTTCTATTACATTTATGACTATCATTTTTTTAACCCATATTTTGTATAAATGAGTCCTATATTTCATTATACTTGTCCATACAAAGTCTACGTCTATAAGCAATTCACTCATAGGTGGCAAGTGCAATCAGGTCTTTAGTCCACTGTGAACAGGGTCATACATTTATCTTTCCAATGCTGCAATATCAGTCTTTTGGCCATAGTTAAGGGCATGAAGAATCCATTTATGTTGTCCAGTTGTCAAGTTGCATGTACTAGGTATGTATTTCAAGAGAATATTTATCCTCTGAAAATTTCAGCTTTTGTTGCAAAAAGCTAAGGAAAAGATTTGAACTTGAGATCCTGAATATCTAGACTGAATCAACTCAATAGGGCTTATTTAGAATGAGAAATTCATTCCAGAATATTTGCAGACTATTTGCTATGAAATCATCTAGCAAAACGTGAAAATCTTTATTCTGCTAGCCATTTGACATCTGCAAATATAAAAGAGATAGCAATGTGTGTTAAGAAGTAAACTTTCAAATTGTGAAGAGTATATGTTTTTTGCAAAGGTGATATGGCAATCATGTTGCTTTCAAGTCTTGCAAAGTAAGAATAAAGATGATTCAGATATATACATGCTGCCTTTCAGGTGATTAATTTAGATATAACATTTCCTTGTTTGGCAGTGTTAATATTTTCCTGGTAAAGATTTCAAGAATAAAGTAGAAAAATGTCTATATTCATATCTGCATGCAAAGTTGGTTGGATTGAACTGTAGGAACACGTAGCACAGCTATCATGAAAAACAGCCCACATTTATGCATGCCCTTTCAAACAGCTGCATTTTCACCATATTATGTGTGACAAAGACCTTAAATTTAGGTAGCAAATCTTTCCTTCAACAGTATCAGCACTATTTAACACAAACTAGCTCTTGAACCAGCATTTACTGAAACTGCAATTTATTAAGATAGCTTATACAAAAATATTCTACTGAAAACCTTAAGAGAACTAATTCAAACCTATGTTAATGAAATTGCTAGACTTGTTGAGTATGTAAGATGCTAGGAAGAGTCATACATATCTTTGAATACCTGCAGACCTCAAAGAAGAGTATGCTATCCTAAAGATGCAAGAAATTAGAACCCATCTGAGTCCCCAGGATGGAAGAGTAGAATTCTCAAACCTTTCCTAGATGCCTCTTGTCTTCACACCTGACCCTGCCTCCTGCTTGGAGGTAGTGCCTTGGAAATTCCTGCTGCAGTATTATTTTATATGAATCTTTATTCTGCTAGCCATTTGACATCTGCAAATATAAAAGCAGAGATAGCAATGTGTTAAGAAGAAAACAGGCTAGTCTATTTTAAACCTAAAGATAATAACTCTTCATCCAACAGTTCTTTGCCAAACATAGCAAATGCTACTGCATCCCATTAAGCTGGTTGTCATCTAGAACTGTCCAAAATAGGCATGGTACTGCAGTCTGAGCTACAGGCATGGAGTTCTGCATGACAGTTGTAGTCCACACATTTACTAAGGCTCTAGTCACTGAGATAATCTTTCAATAGGCCATTTCCAAAACTGACCATAATGAATTCCTATACAGTAGTTGGAAGCATCATGGGTATTACCATGATCTATCTTTCTCCACATACACACATACATCAATTGTTTACTTGCTGTAATCAAGAGATTTTATATACATACACATATACATACATGCATTCTGCTATTCTCTTTCAGGGTAAGTAACATTATACATACAGTCAGGTCCAGAAATATTGGGACATCGACACAATTCTAACATCTTT